ATTAAGGTCATGGTGTAGGGTTTTGTTGGTTACATAGAAAGGAGCATTGGCTATTGTTCGAAGGACTTTTGATTGGAAGCGTTTGATATTAGTAAATTTTGCTGTTCCCCACAGTTCAAGTCCGTAAGTCCAGATAGGTTTCAGTATTGTCTTGTAGATCAGTAACTTGTTTTCAATGGAAAGTTTTGATTTTCTGTTTAGTAGCCGGTATAGTTTTCCGTATCGTCGGTTTAGTTCCTGTCTTTTAAGTCTAGTATGAGGGTTCCACGTTAGTCGTCTGTCTAAGAGAAAGCCAAGGTACCGGACTGTGTCCGAGAAAGGAAGCTGAATGGAATTAAAGTGTACTGGTGGACAGGAACTGCGTCGGAGCGTGAAGGTGATGTGTTGGCATTTGGATTCGTTTACTTTAATTCGCCATTTATTACACCAGTGCTCAATCAGGGAGAGATGTCTTTGAAGGTTTAAGGATGCTATATCAGGATCTGAGTCGGATGATAGAATGGCGGTGTCATCAGCAAAAGTTGCCAGGAAGGTATCGGGATGGACAGGGATATCAGCGGTAAAGAGGATGTAAAGGACGGGACCCAATACGCTACCTTGAGGAACACCTGCCTCAATTGGATAGCAATTCGATAATTCACTACCGCAGCGAACTCGGAAGGTACGATCTGAGAGGTAGGAACGGAGGACAAGGTACAAGGACTGAGGAAGATAGGTTTTCAGCTTGGAAAGAAGCCTGGCGTGCCATACCCGGTCAAAAGCATGAGCTATGTCCAGAAATGCACCCGAGCAATATTGCTTGCTTTCCAATGCTGCGGAAATATGATCGACCACTCGGAGTCCTTGTTGGACTGTGGAGTGTTGTGAACGGAATCCGAACTGATGTGAAGGAAAATTTTGGGATTATATAAAGGGTAAGATTCGTTTCAGGAGGATCTTTTCAAAGATTTTTGAGAGAATCGGAAGTAGGCTAATTGGTCTGTAGGACGTTGAGGTGTTGGGAGGTTTGCCTGGTTTCGGAAACAGGATAATAGTGGAATGTTTCCACAAGAGAGGAAAGTGGGTGGTTCTTAGGATGGCATTATATAAGTAGGTGAGAAATAAAACAGCTTTTGGAGGAAGTTGTCGAAGGATTTGAGAGGTAAGGAGGTCGTATCCAGGAGATTTACGGAGAGGAATTTTTTGTAAGTGATGTTTGACCTCAGAAGGATTAACTGCTTTAGGTGGCAAGGAAAGTGGAATGGGTGATGTAAGGAATTCTTCTACTGTTGTGGTATGGGTGAGGTTGGATTCCGGATGAGAGGTAAGTGTTCTGGAGAGGTGTCTGGCGAATTCCTCAGCTTTATCTTCATCAGACGCTGCCCAGGAGCCATCGCTTCGACGGAGGGGATGGGAAATATGATGGGGTTTTAGGATTTTGTTGGTGATCTTCCATAGGGAATTGCCATGAACAGAGAGGGAAGTAAGGTAGGAGTTGAAGGATTGGGATTTGAAGGTGGCCAATTCCTGCTTTAATTGTTTACTGTAAAAATTATAGGAGCGACGATCGATGGGGTGTCTAGTACGTTGCCATAATAATCTGGCGCGGTTTTTGGTATGGATTAGGTCTATGAGGTGTTGAGGTAACTTATTTTTCTTGGGAGTTCTTGAGGAGTGGTTTGGAGAGGAAGCAGTACAGATTGCTTGTTGGATAGTGGTGGTGAAAAGGTGTACGGCATTGTCAAGGTCATCTGGGGTTTTTAGGGTTATTCTGAGGTCAATTTTATCGGATAGGATTTGGTGATAGAGTTTCCAGTTAACTGAGCCTCTGATGAAGGACGGTGGAAAAGACTTAGGAATAGGAGCAAGAGATAATGATGGCTTTTATAAGGTTTTTTTTTATGAACAGGATGTTATAAATGTCAAATTATTTACAATGGTATAGATTATGCAATATGATAAGTAATCTCTAATTTCATTGAGCTTTTACAGCTTCTTTATTATTTTGTCTTTCTTCACATTATATCTTGACTGCATTTGTGTAATAATCAATATTTTGTCTTTTCAGTGGAATTTTCAATAGGTGGCAAATGTGATTCTAACAGAAATGTAACAAATAAACAGTATCAAGAATAGCTTATCAGAAAGCTTTCAAAATTTGGTTAAAAATATTTTTTTCATTCCTTTCTACTCATCCGATTGAAGATTACAATAGCTTAAAACCCATATCGAGAATAGGGATCATTTTGCATAAAACCATATTAAATATCTGTCCAATAGTTTTTGGGGTTAGTTGTTTAAAACAAAAATGGACTTTATAAATATATATATTCGGTTAATTGTAAAGTATGATTACTATTACTATTAGTAAGTGACATTTGAGAACATTAAATCACTAAGAACTTTGATGAATTTTCCCTTAGGAAAATCTGAAAATTGGGCATTTATATAACTATATCTGATATATAAAAGAGTTAGAGTCACTTAAGTGCACTTAATCAGTTTTTTTTTATTGATTGACAAGGTTGAAATTGAAAGGTGAAATCCCTAAAAAGTTTAAATATGTGCGTGTGTGATGTGGTAGATAAAGTTAAACAGTCTACGTCCAGTAATTTCCATGAAGTTATTGGATGAGAGACAATGGGACATAAAGAAGATGTGGGAAGAAATTAAGGGAAGATGCAGTATCCAAAAAATGCCCGGGACTTACTTGGCACTTCAAACTGATGAGAAGCTGTACTGGATAGATTAATCTGGTGAAGACTTATTGAGGAGTCCCATGAATCAGTAGTACCAAGCAATTAGTAGTTCTAATTTGATAGGTTTCTATACAGATACTTTGTTTTTATAAAAAGTAAGAATAACTAGAAAATTTATAAATTGATGAACAGATACTAATACACATGAGTGTAATTTGAAAATAGAGTTAATTATAATGGTGAACTAGAATCCCTACTTCAGCTTTTCATTCAGCAAAATAATTACATATTGAATTGTTTATGCTTCAGGGCCTCATTCCTTTATTTTAAGTACAATTTAGTCACTAATATTCTTTAAACTTAATTAAGCTATAGAATGGTATTTCAATAGTTAATGTGTATTTTGACTGTTTTTAATTTTAGTGTGATAATCATTTAAGAAAATTTTCTACTATTATATATTTTTTTCACTGTAGGGTATGAATATGAGAACAATAAAGTCTTAAAATATAGTTATTTATCTATTGTCTGAACCTCAACATGCTCAACACATATAATTTAAAATGTTTTAGTATTGACCAATGTAGTTGTAGATACAACTTGAGATCTTTCCTAAAATGTCAATATTGAATTTTATTTCTTCCTCACAACAACCTATCATAACATTGATACCAATCTTAAAAGGTCCAAGTATTCCAATACAATAAAGTCTTCATACTATGTCTAAACATAAAGATGAAATTAATTTGTTTTCTTATTCCTGCACTCTTATCCCTTCACTTGAAAAAAACACTGTAGATACTGTGAAGAGCTTATATAGAATTTTCAATGGGATAAACATGGTTTTGCTGGAAAACCCTTTAAACTATCATGTCTCAACAATAGGTTAAGATATGGATATTAGATAGAAAACTACATTTTGGGTAGAATATCTTCTCTTCAAAAACAATTTCATCAAAAAATAATAATAATAAAAAACCTTACCACTAAAAGTCATGGAGGGTCTTGGGTTAAGTATTTTGGAAGTACTGTTTTAAGAGCAAGGATTGTGTAGGAAGTTAGATCACCCTCAAACACATTTTTTAGCTTAATTAATTATTTAATTAAGAGTACTCACTTTATAAAGGCTGGTGTGCTCCATGAGGGTCTTCTGATCCCAGGGTCGATCCACAGCTGATGTAACTGAATAAATAATTATCAGCAACAGCCAAACTTGAAACCAAGATCTTGAGCATATGAGAACAGGGACTTGCTCATTGAGCTACCCCACTCAATATTAACATAAACATTGCAATAGGATATCGTGAAGCCCCCTTGGTTTTGGTCTGCTGCCAAGGGAGTTTGAAGGTTCAAATATTCCCCAGAAGATTCAATATAAATTTATCTTTAATCTATACATGTATAAGTCATTTATGATATTTTTCTAGCGCTCGGGAACCAGTTAGTTCAAGGTTTACATTTATTCATTGCTGATTAAGGATAAATATATATAACAAAATAAGTATGGATAGGTAAAAATAAGTATAATTTAAAAAAAAAATTAATTTCCTACTTTAAAAATACTAACATATGTATTTCATTCTGAAGATGAAAAATAAAGCTCTCAAAGGTTAACTATTTATTTTATTAAATGAAAACAGATTAAGGAATTCTAGTTCACCATTACCTATGGATAAATCTAGAAAACGACATACTTAATTATATGATAACAAAACAAAAAAGTTTAGAATTCAAGGTATTATAATATAATATAATTGTTTTCTTAAATATTCGTAATAAAAGGATTGTCATAACAAAAAACTCTGGATGATAAATAAAAACAGTAATTGGAATATACTGTAGTTCTTTACAGTTCATATCTCAGTGCTACACATGTGTGTGTCTATAATAAATATATATAAATAACAACTTTATTATTCAAATGAGGGAACAATATTAAACATAATAAATCAGGAATAATTTATATAAACATAAATGCTTGTATATACAAATACATAGACAAATATATATATATATATATATATATATATATATATATATATATATATATATATATATATATATATATAAATACTGACATAAATATAGGTATCTTAAAAAAAAAAGAAAGAAATTTCATAGAAAATAAAAAATACATATAACAATAACTTGCTTAAGAAATATCTTCATAACAGTAACAGATATTAACTTTAATACACATAAATTTTTTTGTTAAAACAAGTCACAATAAAATGTAACTACAAAAAAAAAAAGAAAAGAAAATGTAATAATTTTACCTATTATTACATTAAAATAGAATAAAAATAAATAAATAAATATTCTTATAGAAGCTCTATACACTACGTTCATATACAAAAATATTAAATATGGATATAATCTACTTCAGTATAAATATATGAAAGAAAATGGAGAAAAGAAAAATTAATGATTAAATGACTAAGGTTGAAAGTTTTCTTGTTTGTAAACAGCATGATATGCATTCCTAATGAGAGCATAAGGAAAACAGGATTCAAGTAAATCCATTGTAAGAAATGGTGATTCCTGGACAATCTGAAACAGATTTGTTTTTTACAAATAAGTTTTAACACTCAATTTTTTAATTTAAGTAAAGAAAAATAAAATCGGTCACAAAGGAATTAAGCATCAGTATTCTAATTAATTTCCTAATATTAAATTACTAACAATTTAATAAAATAAATCAGGGAAAAAAAACTTACGAGGTCAAGAAGTAAATAAACTGATTCTCTATGCTTTGTCATTTCTTTGTCAGCTTCAAGTCCAAGCCGAAGTAAACTCGAAGAAGCCAACTAAAACGAAATATAAATAAAATGTAATTAATTGAACATTACAAAAGTACTAAAATACTAAATAAGCACAATATTTTATTACTTTAATTTAAGTTTATTATTATTTATTTAATTGTAATAACATATTATGCATATTACTAAGCTGAAAAACTCAACGGATCATCAAAATCAGTATCGGCGAATGAATTTAATAAATATATTTAAATAATACAGTTCAACAAAAGACTTAATAAATGATCAAGACTCTGAAAAATGATGAATGAACTGGGTTGGGAATCTTATCAGATCTCATTTATCCTTAATTTATAGCTGAGTACCTACTTCTAAATCTTGCTGTGATTAATCCTTGTTGGAAGTATGCTACAATACGATTATTGTATCCAGACATAATTTCTATCACTAAGGTGCTAAAATCTGCTATAAATCTAAACCTACTCAATAGTTTCCCTTTGGATTTAACTGCTCCTCAAATGCAGCTTTCTTTCATTAGAAACAAGGGAAATCAACCAAGTCGAGATTCACCAGGTAAAGCAATGTCCAACCCTGATAATAGCTAAGGAGAGCTGACAAGGGAGACATTTTATATTCACTTCCCATTTTATGTTAATTGATAACAGTACAATCATAGTAACCTTAACTTCTGTACTTTGAACACTCCAGTAATCCGAACTGGCAAAAATAAAAAAGTGAATGGAAAGTATAATTCAGGAAAAGAAAAGATGAATGCAGAATGCAAGAAATAAATTTTTAACTGAAGATGCCCACCTATGTAGCCAAATTTCTAAGAATTGTCTTAGCTCATAAACTAATAGTTAATGAAGTTGTATATAAAAGTTGTATATAGTAATTATATTTTATCATTAGCAGTCAGTACGTTTTTCCAAACACTTACTGTAATCTCAACTTTTTGTATAATCCAAATTATCCCTGCAGCTATTCATTCAGATTAACGAGACTGCACTGTTAATTTTTTTTTTCAATGAAAAACAAATCATATCTTTCTTAGTTGCCAACAACTGTAGATGAAAGGTTTGTAAGTATACATCAATTTGTGAGGAATAATTTAAAAAATAATGAAGCTATCAAATATTTATTTTTGACAAAAAAAAAAAAAAAAAAAAAAAAAAAAAACCTTAGTGTTTTTCTTTTAAATAAAATGCAGAGTTTCAGGATAAATTAAACATCACAAAAAGGGAAACGGATTATCATGATATTGTTTTTGTTCTATGATATTCTCTACCACATGAAACAGTAAAATCAGTAGGTATTTTACAACGTCATTATTTTTTCCCATTTCAAAATAAAATTCCTTAAATTACTGTTTTTATTAAAAAATAATAAATTTTTTTTAAAAATTTCTTCAAAGTATAAATCAATATGCATTTATTTAGGATCATAAAAAATCTAAACAGATATTCGTCCCTCATGACGACAATTGAGCATTTCGCAAACAATCACCAATAGCCAAATGATGAAAATTCATCATTTCCATATTACAGAAAATAATTGAGTTTTGTTCTTTTAATTCAATAATAATAATAATAATAATAATAATAATAAGGCTTAGCGAACCCGAAGGTTCGATGCCGACACCACCAATCGCTTGTTACACACCTCCCTCCACCGTTCGCCGTCCAAACCCAGTCCCTTCAGATCGGCTTTAATGCAATCTTCCCACCTTCGCTTCGGTCTACCCCTCGGACGCTTACCATTCGGCACAGCAAATATTAACCTTTTAGGAATTCTCTCGTTACTAAGCCCAACAACTTTACAAGCCCATTTGATTCGCCGCGATGAAATTACCTCAATTATATTACCCGGATACAGCTCACGCAATTCGGCGTTGTGTAACCGTCTGAACTCTCCGGTTAACTCATCCTTCTTCGGTCCGAATATTCTACGCAATACTTTATTTTCAAAAACCTTAAGACGCTGCTCATCCCTTAATGTAAGCGGCCAAGTTTCGCATCCATAAAGAACTGTAGGCAAGATAATTGTTTTATAGATTCTAATTTTTAAGTTTCGGGACAAGAGGCGCGAACTAAGTAGTTTTGTCACAGAAAAATAACAAGCATTCCCCGCCTTCAGTCTAACCTTAATCTCTTCTTCAATTTCGTTTTTTCTAGTTATCGTAGAACCTAGATACCTAAATTTATCTACCTGTTCAAACATATTACCATCTATATCGATATCACCAGTAGTATCGCCATTTTTGCAGCTAACCATATATTTTGTTTTATCCACGTTTATTTCGAGTCCTAGTTCTTTACCGGCTTTCATTAACGTTGTCGTATTTAGTTTTATAGTTTCAACGTCTTCGCTTAACAGTACCAGATCATCAGCATAGCCCAGCACGGATGTTGTCCCGCCCAGATCCAACCCTTTCTCGGTTCGCATTACCTCCCTAATGGCATGTTCTAATGCCAAATTGAACAGGACAGGCGAAAGAGAATCCCCCTGTTTTAAGCCCGAACGAACCTCAAATTTTTCGGACAAATTATTACCGATTCTAACTTTATTGAGTGTCTCCGTCAAGCACATCCTGACTAGATTTACTAGTTTTTTTGGAATCCCCTGCTCGATTAGAATATTATACAGTTTCTGGCGGTCAATAGAATCGTAAGCCTTTTTAAAATCTATATACAGCTGGTGAACAATACCGTTATACTCCAATTTTTTCTCTAATATTTGCCGTAAAGAAAATATTTGATCAATAGTCGAACGATTCCGTCTAAATCCGCATTGGTAGTCTCCGATAATTTCCTCGGCGTATTCCGTGATTCGACTGGTTAAGATTAAAGTGAATATTTTATAACATACCGGAAGGAGTGAAATTCCTCGATAGTTATTACAATCCGTCCTCGGACCCTTTTTGTGAATCGGAATAAGAATAGATTCTTTCCATTCTTCAGGTAATTTCTCGTTCACCCAGATCTTTTTAACCAACCGATGTATTTTAGAAACTCCAGCTTCCCCGCATGCCTTAATTAGTTCAGTAGGAATATTATCGATTCCCGCTGCTTTATATGATTTTAATTTTCCGATAGCTACTTCAACTTCCTCTTTACTTGGTCCTTCTATTAACGGTTCAGCACTCTGGTACTCAGAAGGAGGACACAGATCATAATTTCCCGTATTTAAAATATTGTCAAAGTGGTCCTTAAACTTATTCAATATGTCAACCGGATCGGTCAGAATATTGTTATTATCATCCCTAATTCCAGACGTTACGGGCCCTACATATTTACGTGATCTGTTTATACCTTTGTACATGTCTCTTACGTTATTTTCGATTCTATTAGTTTCTATTTCAATTATTTTATTTTTAAGATACTCCCTTTTTTTATTTTTGAGCAATTTTGTCGTTTCGTTCTTTGAGATTCGGAAGTATTCCAGATTGTCTTCGCTAGGATTATTTAGAGCTTTTAATTTAGCGGCTTTTCTTTTTTCACACATGTTTAAGCAATCTTCATCAAACCACGGTTTGTTATTCTTATTTTCCTTTTTTCCTAGACACGAGTTACCGACCGCTTTAATATTATCTCTGATCTCTATCCATAACTTGTCAATATCCTCGTGGTCCTCGTCAGGAAGCTCTAAAGCTTCAAACCTATTCTTAACATCTAGCTCGAATTGGTTTCTAATTAATGGATTTTTTAATTTTTCCAAATTAAAATTCTCAAAATCGAAACGGTTTTCTTTTCTCTTTTTTATATTAAGTTTTTGTCGAAGTTTCGCGATTACTAATTCATGATCCGACCCACATTCTGCTCCGCGATAAGACCGTACATTAATTATACTGCTTTGCCAGCTATGTTGTATCAAGACATGATCGATTTGATTTCGTGTTTGCGAATCCGGTGATGTCCAAGTATATTTATGAATATCCTTGTGTTTAAACGTCGTACTTTTAATTATCAGGTTTTTCGAGATGGCAAAGTTTATCAGACGGATCCCATTATCATTACTATATTCGTGCAAACTTTCTTTACCAATCGTCGGAATATAAACTTCTTCCCTTCCTACCTTTGCGTTCGCGTCACCTACAATTATTTTCATGTAGTTTCGCGGTAGTTTATCATAAACCCATTCGAGTTTATCGTAAAATTCACTTTTGACTTCATCGTCACTGTCTTCGGTCGGACAATGTATGTTTATTAATGCGATTTTAAACCAACGTCCCTGAAATGTAGCTACCGAAATTCTATCACTAAAGAATTGTACGTCCCTCAAAGCGGATAGTAATCTACGCCTAATTAGAAACCCGGTACCTAAACAATGATTCCCGCTTCCTCCGTACCAAATAGTGTACTTTCCTTCCCTCATCGAGCCCTCCCTGGCCAGCGAACCTCTTGCAGAGCCACGACATCCAAATTGTACCCATTTACCTCATTCGCGACCGATTTTAGCCCCCCTGCTGTGTTTAAACTCCTTACGTTCCACGTACCAATATTTTAATCCCTATATTTCAACTTGCACCATGAATCCCCTAAAGCAGTCCCCACCCGGAGACCCGAACGGGGGACTAGTTTACCTCCGGATAATGAGCGTTTTACCTTAGGGAGATCCATGACTTTTTGTGGTGTTTGGTGAACTAAAGATATGTGAGTAGGGCGTTCAATCCTACGTCACACCCTCCAGCAAGTCTGGTGGGCCCCTACCTCCAGCAAGTCTGGAGGTCCCCTCCCTCCAGCAAGTCTGGAGGGCCCCTCTCATTGTTGGTCAGCGAGTCCATCGGACTTAGCCGGGAGGAACTTCCAAGGAATTTCCACCGACCATCCCCACATCCGCCACCCGTGGGACGCTCCCCATACGCGGTAATGAGCCCGCGCGAGGAAAATATCAGAGTATTCCTACATAAATATAAGGTTTTACAGTGGGTAGACATAATTTTTTTTGTAATACAGAAAATTTGGCCAGCTATATAGACTACTGAACAGAAACTCACATCTTTCAATTGAAAACAAACTACTAATATACAAGACCATACTGAAACTCATCTGGACCTATGGACTCGAATAGTGGGAGACAGCTAAATCTTCGAAGATCAAACGCATCAATCCTTCCATTCTGAAACTTCCATCTAAAATTTACCCATCATCCAAATCCCTTAGCACAATCCTTCTCCGGATCCAACGATCCATATAATCCCCCATGAAGGTTAAAACGGTAATGGCCCCGAGACCTTTTGTAAATACGCTGTTGGAGTTTTGGCAGTGATAGCGGTGGTCCGCTCAAGTCCTGAGTGTATGTGGCTTTAGCGTTCTTACTCAGCTCTTTTAATTCAAAATAAATTAAATTCTAATTTTTACAAAACAGAGATAAAGAGATGCTGGACCATTTTGTGAATGGTTAATTAATTAAAAAAAAAAAGACACCTGATGGATAAGTGTTATAATTTATTAGTCAACATAGAATAATATTCCAAGATAAATGAGTGAAACTGCTGGCTGATATTGTGTTATTTATTGAAATTATAATACTAATAAAATTGGTTCAGCTGTTTATTTTGTAAAAATAAAACTTTCTACAGGTAAATGAGAATTAGAGAAATATTTAAGAGAATTAGAACAGAAACATAAAAAAAATAAAAATAAAAACTGTCTTATTTGTTCTTCTTCAGATTATTATAAGACAGTTTATTATTCTTTACAAATTTTGAATTTCCAAACTTCCATTTTAATTTTTTTTTTTTTTAAAGAAGGATGTCAAATCTATTTGGTAATTTACACCTCAATAATGACCTAAGGGTAGAATTATTGCTATTGCCCAACTTTAGTGGCTGGCAATGTCAGCCATCCACTAATTCCAATCGTTAATGCTTGCGTTTTTCATTGAAACTACTCACCATGGCAGCCAACTTCTCTTGCATTACATATACAATTTAAAGCATTATAAAATCAAATTTCTAGGTTTAAATTTAATGGTTTATATTTGTATCACAAAGATAAATATACAGACAATGGTGGTGTTGTGATCATATTTAATTATTACATTTATATACCGAATATATGGGAAAACTTCATACTATTGAACCTTGATAAAAGGAAAACTCTACAAATCCGCAAGTTCTCATCCATAATGGTCCACCACTTTTAACACAGGCCCATATAGCACCATTGACCTCGCAGCAAGAAAAAAATAAAGTTTCCTATAGGACTGGCCAAGATTAAGTCCCACCATATATACCTCCCCTCAACTCTAGCCTAACATCAAACCAATTTTTTAGCATCCCCAATTCTTTTAGCCTGGACCCTCCATCACACCTAGAAGTCTGAGATCACAATAATTTATAAAAATCTTTTTTACATAATTTCACAGTGCTGTTTTGGATGAGACTAAAATTTTATTAACTGGTTACATACAGGAATATTCATTTAAAAAAATTGAATTTGTATGTATGAAATAACTTTTTTAAAGAACTCAGTTATTTACATATAAAAATAAACATATTAAAGGTAATTGCGTCGATTAGTTTTTTTATAATAAAGTAAAAATATAACTGTGGGATTAATACATACAGCCAAAAATTCCTTCATTCTATCTTCAATGTCACCTTGGCCACATATCGTGAAAAGAGCTCCAAAAATATTATTAATAGCAGATGCCATACAATGAATATTATTTCCATGACCCTCTAAGGAAGCTTTATAGAAAGAGTTGTCACTACGTGCAAGTTTTGGTATAGAAACTGCTATGAACACCATTAACAGGCATGCAAGTAAATGCTCATCTTCATCTATTTCTGAAAATAAAGAATATATTATAGAATTTCATAATTAGCTCTTAAAAGTATGAAACAACAAATTTTGGATGTATTATGCTAGATGGTTAAAAAAGAGTCATATGAGAGTAAAATATAAAGAGTAATTATGGAAAAAAATGGATAATTTATTTGCTAGGCAATGATGACTAATATCAAATTCCAGCGTCAGTTAGCAAACTAGATTTCCTCAATTAAATGTCAAAAATATAAAGAGGCCATAATATACCATAATATGTTATATGAAGAAAAATTAAATAGGATGTGTTCTGAATATGATTAAAGTAGTCAAAATTATTTAATCACCTCTTTTCAACACTATGAAACAAACAGAACATTCTCAAAACTCACTAGTTCAAAACCATCTTCTCCTCATCCCGTTTATGTCTTGATGGTGGATAATTAATGGCTGTTGGAAGATACTGTTGAAGAGAATTTGGTTGGGGATCACAGTTATTGGAAGTACACAAAAATAAATTAATAGGGTGTATAAAAAAATGACCATTTTTCAACTAAATATTTCTATTATTATTTCTTTGATATAAAATATAATTAATATTCAAACGATAGTCCATTGTTATCTACCGTCATTATCCATCTGCTAGCCAACTGCTGGATCCCACGCTGATACCATTCTTTGGGATGGCTATTAAAGAACTCTTGAAACGCAATTTAAGTTTCAGAAAGCTAAACTTAAACGTCTAATGAATTGCTCAATACCCTTTATCTTAGGGATCTCAAGGGATATTACCCAGTTTTACACTGAGTTGAAGTGGCTTTATCCGTCCTACCGCCATCAGTATTTCCTTTCTACCTTCCTATACCAGGCTACTAGAACTCGTCGACCCTCCTATATTCTACAGATCCTATAATTCAAATCCTCCATTCAATCCCACTAGATCCCGCACATCCGACCTCTATCCTCCTCCTCACCGAACTGCTGCGTTTGACAAATCCTTTTTAACTCAAGCTGTCTCCCTGTAGAATGCTATCCCTTTTGATATTCGACACTCAAAGTCAGTATTCTCTTTTAAATCTCTCCTCTTCAAACACCTACTCCATTCCCAATCCGGTTGATCGTGAAATGCACTTGAAAATCCAAGTCGTAAGACCCTCAAAGTACCCCCACACACTTTAATTATTTTGTGATTTATTGATATTTTGTTTATTTATTTTACTTTCTCTGTTTATTTTATATTTATGTACGTTTTTGTATCTTTTCATTATCTGTACTTTTATTCTATTGTCAATCATCGTGAAAATATTTAATCATACTTTATAGACACACCAGGATGTTAATATACATTCTGTATTTATGATTTGTTCTAAAGGGGCACTAGTCCTAGAATAATGAAATTATTTTCATTCATTCATTCAATTTCAACTTACAAAAAACTATCAAGTTTTTTACCTTGAAGAAAATGTGCCATGGATCTAAATAAGTAGTAATCCGAAGGTGTGAGGTCTGGACTATATGAAAGATGAGGCAGGAGTCTCATATCAGAAGGGTTTTTCAATAAATTTTCACAAATTTCTAACCTCTTAGCTGATTGCTGAGGAGTAAGTTCATGAGGGACTAGTGTACTGCTCTTTTTAACCTTCCCCATGGAGAGTAGATGGTGACTAACAGAATCTTTTGACACAACACACTCTCTGGCAAGTTTGCGAGCACTCTTGGATGGATTTGACTCAACTGCTTCCTGCGAAACCTCATCAATATCCATAATAGTCGCCTGGAGCCCTTCTTCCTTCCCAACGTCATACCTCCAATACTAAATTTATCAAACTAACAACATGCAGTGTGCCGGTCAAGGACAGTTTTACCTTCATAATTATTAATTTTACGAGTTGCTTCAGCGGCTGTGAATTTTTTTTTCCAGATATGCCTAAAAATTATGAGAAGTTCGTAGGACAGTGTCATGTCCCTTCTTTGAAACAAATAACTAAACCGAGGCTTTTTTTGAAGAAGTCGAATGGGATTAAACAAGCCTAGAGAATGGTCTATAGAGGTTATTAAAATATTTACAGTCCTTAGAAATCTTGAACATGATAAAATGGTCATTTTTTTTTTTTTATGCACCCTATTATATGTATTTTCTTTGAGCCGACATTTCGGCCTTCATCATGGCTAAGCAGAGATTAGATAACAAATAAATACTGAGAAAATAGTAGGCAGTAATAATAATAATAAACCCGCAAGGGCAACTGATGAACGCAGTTGTTGGGGTATTACACTCCCCCGGGTTCCTGAGTACATCATACCGTTCACTAACTCACACATTACAGCTCACAATAACACAAACACCGACACTAGGGCATTTTCAGTACACACCTTAGGGCAACCTTACCTAGGAAGGCCTGGCAGAAGGTTTAAAATGCAATCACCCATCAAAAATGAAGCTAAGAAATCGACGTATAGCCTCGGACGAGCCTGGGAATGAATCTGCACTAGGCGGAAACCTTCGACAGCTTCCTTCAGGTAGTGGCGAAGCAAGTGGCGCCACCCTGTTGCAATGGACCACAAGACTGCAAGAACCGGCAACTAGTTCGAGTTTGGGCTTGGGCGAGACCATTTCTCCTCCCGCACGAACCCGGCAACAGAGACCAAGAGGTGCTCGAAGGATGAAATGGACGACAGAAATGAACAAGGCAGTCATCCAGGCATATCTTTTGGCAACACAATTAGAAACAGACAAGACAGGATACCTCAGCAGGATTCAACAGTATTGGCAAGAATTATATCCACAGATGACTATAAGTACACAAACACTCAGTGATCAGGTTAGAGTAATCCGGTCAAGAAAATTTCTCACCGCAGTGGAAATGGATAATATAAAAGCAATGTATCAGAACGACTAGGGATAATAGCTGCTGAGAATGAAGAGCGACCAACTGATGTTATAGAACTCATAGAAAGATCATTGGCGATGGAGGCAGTTTCTTCAGAAGAAGACAAAGAGGTACAAAAACTGATTCTGTCACTGTTATCCCAGCATATGTTTTATGAAGGAATACCACATGATGTTAGACCCACCCTATCAAGGATTCCTTACAACTTTAGATCCCGGATGACTGTGAAAAATGTTAATGAAGCTTTAAGTAAACTTATTATTGACTACTCTGAAATGGATATTGAAGCTGTTTGTCATTGGGCTTATGTTGCAGCTAGAGTCTTTATTATCGAACTAGGTTTAGGAGAAGATAAACCAAAGAAAGATAATGGCAATATGAAACTCCCACGTTGGCAGAGAAGATTAGAGAATAATATAGCTTCGCTAAGGTCAAGTATTGGGGTAATTACAAGCTATATTAGAAATCCGGATGGAGCAAGTAAAAGACTAAAAAGAAGGAAATAGTTGTACTACAAATAGGAATGGTGTTAGAATCTGAGCTCACCGAAAAACTTGCTTTACATGCTGATCTACTAAAGCAAAAACTTGCAGTTTACGCAAACAGAATACGGCGCTATCAAACGTCGATGCTCCGTAAACAGCAGAATAAAAGATTCACAAACAGTGAGAAGCAGTTCTATCAGAACTTGGATGAAAATAAAAAAGGAGGTGTAAATTACTCGTTAACCGATAATATAATCGACTATTGGAAGAGGCTTTGGGAGGACAATGTAGATCACAATGACGAAATAGACTGGCTAAAATCAGTGAACAGGGAACTTCAGGAGGCACCTCAAATGTCTGATTTTGATATTTCAACAGAAGAAGTAGTCATCGCTACAAAGAAAATGAAAAATTGGAAAGCTCCGGGCAGTGATAAAATTCAAAATTATTGGTTGAAAAACCTAACCTGTTTGCACGAAATACTTGCGATAAACTATAAAAAAATTATGAGAGGACAAATAGACATTCCTAACACATTCTGTCAGGGTGTTACCGTTCTAATTCCTAAAAAACAGGGAGACCTATTGGAACCACAAGACTTCAGGCCAATTACTTGTCTCAACGGAGTTTATAAGATTTTAACATCCATTCTATCAAGTAAGATTGAATGTCACCTAAGATCCAATAATTTGATCCCAACAGAGCAACTTGGTTGTAGGAAAGGAGCCCAAGGCTGTAAGGAGCTGTTGCTCATAGACTCATTTGTTACAGGCCTAACGACCACGAATAAAAGAAATTTGTCAATAGCATGGATTGATTACAGAAAGGCATTTGACTCGGTCCCTCACAGTTGGCTTTTAGAAGCATTAGAATTGTATAAAGTTCATCCATGTTTAACTGAACTTCTGAAGAAATTGATGAACTACTGGAAAACTAGATTGAGGATAGGACATGAACAGCAATCAACAGACCCTCGGAGTACATTAAAATTTCGAGAGGTATATACCAGGGAGACTCCCTCAGCCCCCTTTGGTTTTGTCTTGCAATGGCTCCACTATCAATTTTATTAAATCGAGAGAGAAACGGATACAAAATAAAACTCAATGAATTGAGTGCAGTAATCAACCACAGTTTTTATATGGACGATTTAAAACTTTATGCAAAGAAAAAATCTCAGTTACAATCTATGCTAAATACTGTGACTCAATACACATCTCACTCGGTATTGAGAAATGTGCTGTTCTTCATGTGATTAAAGGGAAGCCAAGTAACTCTGAGAACATATTTAATGAAGCATTGCATATTAAACATCTAAAAAATGAACAGCTATATAAATATCTTGGGATAGAACAGCATGTTAAAATAGCGAGCAAAGAGGCAAAAAACAGACTGATAGAGTCGTTGAAAAAGAGATTGAAAATTATTCTTAAACATACCTATCCTCAGGTTCAAAAATAAATGCTGTGAATACTTGGGTTATACCAGCCATTTCTTACAGTTTCGGAATTTTAAAATGGTCTACAACTTCACTCCAGGAATTGGATAGATTTATACGGACAAGTATGACTAAATACAGAATGCATCACCCGACTGCAATGTTTCCCGCGACAGAGGGCTTTCTGATAGCAATCCAAGATCAGGTCATAG